TTCCCAAGTATTGTATTTTTTTAGTAATTCAGATTTACTTGGTGTCCTCTATTTTTACTGGATGAAGCTGCCAACCCTAGGTGCAACCCAGGGGCAGGCAGGCTCTAAAGTCTATGTTAAAGGGGTGCTAGTTTTTTTCACTGGCATAGTGTATTATCCCAGCACTCGTGAACATGTCGTCTAATTCTCTTTTCTCTCTGTAAGAGGTTTGTATTCAGAAAAGCCTTAGATCTGTTTAGATATCGACTCTTTTTTGACTATCTACTTAAATGGCAGCAGGCATCTATGAGCTGAGAGCATTTCCGTGATGGCAGGCTACAGACCACACATGCTCCCAGGATAAGGCATTTAGAGACTGTTAACATCCAGAATGCTGTTACCCATTGGATAACCCCAGCTGTGGATTTGGCAGACATAAATTAATATGTTCCAAATTTATTTAGTTTCTTCCTCCACATCTGCTCCCTCTGTATCTGTGTTAATGGCACTGATACTGATCTAGTCCTTCAAGCCAGATACTTGGGAACCTGGAGGAGGAGGAGAGGGTCTTCCCCTTTCCTTATCCTCCTGCCCACATCCAATCAGTTCTGAAGTTCTGTGAATTTCCTCTTCCCATTTCTTTAGTTTTACCACATTAGTGGAGGCTAACCCCGGCTTCCTGTCTCTCCTCAGCCTCAATCCCTTCACTCCTCCGTAGTGGAGAACACCATAGGGCTGATCAGGGTGCTCTAACTTTTGTGGCTCTAGCGGCACCAGATCATATTTTATCAATGCCATTAAGTACTTACAATAAGTAGGACCTCATAGAAAAAGATCAAGATGTGGATCTCTCTACACTCACGATTCTGCCTGGAGTCTTTTTTGAGAACCTCTGCTTATCTTAGTGAATATCTGAATATCATGTTGCTCACTCTTTCTAGAAAAAATGCACCAGAGACTGTATTTCCCCTGGCTTCTCCCAACTTCCCTTATCGTCATTAATTCTTCCTCCCACCAGTGATTGACTTTTGAGCCATTTCTCAGCAACAGTTTACCTGCCTCCAGCAACCATAAATGTCCAGGAACATGCATCCTACAAACACTCACATACACATATGCACACACAGACACACATCATGCAGAAATACAGACACACACACATGCATTTTATCCATCCTGTATTGCTAAATGCTGTACAACGAATCATCCCTAGTGCAGCATAATTTGCCTTTCAGTCAATAAATGGCAGTTATTGACATATGGATTTAATTATGTCATCTCAGATCAGATTTTTATCCTCATGAATTCAAATGGGATTTTTGCCTCCTGATTGCACAAATGGTGGATCTTGTGTTTGCAGAGAGATGGTTTATGTTCTTTCAAAATTTATGTTTATGTTTTTTCTCAGATAAGTTAGTTCTCTTTCTCCTTTATTTTAAGGCACTCTAGAGAGATGAAAAGTGTGGTAGCCAACACCTGGGAACTAAATGTACTATTTAATAGATGCAGAATTAATACATTGCAGTGGGATGCAAAAATCCCTTTTCTATCTTTACCTAGTGAAGCAAATATTATTGGATGGATTACTTCAATAAAAGAAACTTGTCTGCAAACATTTAGCCATCACTGTGTCCCAAACTCCTCAAGATTCTTTTATTAGTATCTTCTAACATTTATTAAGGGAACATTTTCTTTTATAATGTCTCCAAATGCTACTTCTAAGATGCTGTGTCATTATATTCTCAATAAGATACTTTCTCAATTATATTTTTCAATATCTCTCAGTCCTAATTTCTTCTCCAATTTCTCATACCTTTTGACTGCTCCAGCCCTAGTATTTCTTTTTGCTCATTAGTGATGAATATAAGCTACTGTGAATGAATATAAGTGATGAATATAAGTTACTGTGAACTTGTACTTGTCAAATATTGTAATTTATCATTTGGAGGGTTCAATTTAACCACGAGTCACTAGTGTGATAATGGTGGACTCACCAAGAATTAAGGACAAATCTGTAGCGGCAGATGCAGTGGAAACTCTGAATCTTGACATCAGAACGTTTCCCTGGGATGCAGAGTAGTCAACCCTGCATCTCTCAGATAAAGGAAAAGCTCCTTGGCACACACACACACACACACACATTTAAAAGGATTGCTTGAAGTGACTAGATTTGAAGTGCAAATGGCAGCAGAAGTGGAGGTAGAAAAATAAATAGAAATGTTTGCCTCAGGAGGTAATGTGGGGGCAAAGACAGGCTTTAAGATCTCTCCCAGGGAACTGACTATCTTCCTGCTTTAGATACTCTGGCCTTTGTCCTACGGGGATACCCAGCTCCTTTGTACATTTCAGAAACAGCCCTTGAATTCAAGAAAGTAAGGGCATTGTTGACATGGGATGGGATCTCAGCTCTAATTTATAGATAGGCAAATTGTTCACAGAGGTCATTGCTTTAACCCTACTTTAATCAGTGATTTGTGACAGAGCCCCTATACGATGGAGCATCTGTGTGCGCCTGAGTAACACGAGAAAGGGAGAGTAGATCTGAGAGGTATCAGCATGTGGTTTCCAAGGAAGTCGTGGGTGTGAATGAATGAAGGAAAAAAGCCACTGAAGTGTCAGTGTCTGGGATCTGGGAGGGAAGAAGAGACCATTCTTTACAATATTGCAACCTGTTGCCCTGAGTCTGCTTCAGACCTACTTTACTCTAATCCAAGTCTATTTTCCCATAGCATTAATCACTTTTTACAATGCTACATAATTTACTTTAGAATTATTTTATTCTGTTTTATTTTATATCTTCTGTGCCCCTGTCCTTTACTAGAAGGTAAGCACCATGAGGACAAGTATCTTTGTCTGTTGGTATATTCCGGGCAGAAGAGTGATTGGTACTTCGGAGGTGCTTAGTAATATTTATTGAATGAATGAAAAAAAAATAGCAGTGTTTCAAGAAGTAAGTTTGCTGTAGAATGTTTGTGTCCCTCCAAATTCATATGTTGAAATCCTAACCCCCAATATCATGGTATTAGGAGGTGTGGCCCTTGGTAGCTGATTAGATGATGAGGGCTCGGCTGTCAGGGCCCCCATGAGGGGATTAGTGTCTTTACACAAGAGACATTGAAAAATTGTCTGTTGAGAAAAAAATTGAAAGCTGTCTTCCAAAGAAGCGTTCTAGCTGTCAGGAGGGAAAGCACACCAGAAATAGGAAATGGAAAAGAGATGTGAGGGCATGTGAGTGGAGCACTTGCAGCCTCTGCTTCATGATCTTTTGGAAATACAAAGCAAATCTTCTGAGTTCTCAGTAGATGAGAATATGAGAAATTTGTCTGTGGGGAGCCAGACATTTTTTTTCTGTTGAGAACATTATTTCTTATTAAGGCATTTTTTAATGTGAGCAGTTGATGAGGGGACAACAGGAAATAGTTTTTATACACTTAGGACCAGCAGAGCACTGGAAATCTCAGCCCTAATTCCCCATTATTGGATTATTGAACTCAAAAACAGTAAATGTGAAAAGGCTTACCTGAGAGACCTAGAGATCACTTTCCTCTGCAAGTACATCCTATAAATCTTAAACTAGGAATTCTTCTTTCTCATGAGAACAGTAATTCCTTGATTCTTTTCTCCTCCCACCCTGCAGAGACAGAGTCCTGCTCTGTCACCTGGGCACACACCACCATTCCTGGCTATTTTTTCTTATTTTTTGTAGAGACAAGGTCTTGCTATGTTGCTCAGGCTGGTCTTGAACGCCTGGCCTTAAGTAATCCTCCCGCCTTGGCCTCCTAAAGTGCTGGGATTACAGGCACAGGCCACTGTGCCTGGCCCCTTGGTTAATCTTAACAGTCAATACTAATTTATACCAACCCTGATTGTTTTGATGCCAATTTATAAGTTTCTTTATACCTTAACCCACTGTCAAAGCTAACTATTAATCCTTACTCCACTAATTTATAGGGCTAAGCACAGACCCAAGTACGTATTATAGAACTAAATTATCAAGCTAATTAATTTGGGGGGTGTGTGTTGAGTGCTTTTAGTATATAATAGAAGAAACTACTCTTCATACAAAAAATCAAGGAAACTACATTCCCCTCCACACAAATGAAATAAAATAAAATTTCAAAACCCATAAACTTTCAGAGATTTTATTTAAATGTTTAAATTGTATGACAGTTTCAGAAGAGGTGAATATGGTAGATTTCACGATTTCCTGCAACATATTTAAATATGGTCTTGCCCCTACTTCATATGTTAGAGTCGAATAGCAAAGGGGGAAGACTGTTATCAGTCAATTTTTCACATAATAATGTTACATAACTAATTATCGCAACAAAATCCCATGGCACTCAACAATAAGCATTTTTTCTCAGAATCACGGTTCTTTGTGTCTGCTGGGCTGGGTTCTTCTTCAGGCTGCAGGTTTATGAGTTGTCTAGGTCAGATTGGTTTCTATGTGTCTTATGTTGGGACCAAGCTGTAAGGGTAGAAGCTACCTGGGACACATTCTTCTCTTTGTAGTGGAGAGAAGCTCCTAGAAGGACAAAGGTAAGCATTCAATACCTGTTAAGACTGAGGCTCTGATATGGTGTACTGTCACTTCCACATTCCATTGGTCAAAGCATGAAAACACCATAAAAAGCAAAGGCAGGAGTACATAATGAACACTGCCCAGCAAGACGCTACAACAAGGGTAGCGATGTACGAAAGCTCCAGGGTAGTAAAGAACTAGGACCATCGGTTCCATCTATCACAGAGGAGTTGTTGTTTCTGGCAATAAACACATCCTTGGACACAACTAGGTAATGCTTATATGATGTATTGACTGGAATTGCTTGATTTTGCTTCCTGATTTATCTGAAGCTGGCAGATTTCAAAGATACTTTTTAATATGCTTACTTGAAATAGTGATTAAGAGTTTCAGCTACTTTTAAAAAGTAACTCCAACTACAGGTTGAAAATTAGATCTTCTTTCTGTCCAAATGCTCCTTTCTTTAGTCTCTATTAACATCCTGATTTTACTTCAGCCCTGAGGTCCTGAAGAGTGAGCCGTACGGGGAGAAGGCTGATGTCTGGGCGGCAGGCTGCATCCTTTATCAGATGGCAACTCTGAATCCGCCCTTCTACAGCACCAACATGCTCTCCTTGGCTACAAAAGTAAGTAACATTGGGTGAGAAAGGGGCTTCATGTTGCTAAAAACACCGTTTCTTTTCTTCTTAAACATACCTTTGCGATCATTATGTAATTGTCAACTTAAAAGTGGGCATTGTTTTTTTAACTGCATGATCCAACCTATTTTTTGCCTTTCTTCTAGATATATATCACATGCTATGGCATATTTCCCTCTATAATTGTCTTCATTTATTATATAAAATTTATAAAAATAAATATATTACCTTCGGTCTTTCATTTTTAGTTTGCAGTTTGGACTACTCACAATCTAGCATCTTCTATTATCCCACACATCATTTTATTATGAACCTAAGGTTAACTTTAACTCAGCTTGGAGAATATAATTCTGTGTTGAAGAACTGTTTAATTGGTGTTGATTTTTTATTCGGTGGTGATGTTTTATTTCTGACTAAAATTGGCACGTGAAGTTATGTTGCTTAATTAGTAATTCTCATGTTGTGGCCATGTATTACTGTTCAAAGATATCTATGGCCCCTTTACTTCCATCACTCCAGTCTCTTTGTTTTGCAGATAGTGGAGGCGGTATATGAACCAGTGCCAGAAGGTATCTACTCTGAAAAAGTGACAGATACCATCAGCAGGTAATTAGTCTCACAACTTCAAACATATAGGGACAATTAAGAAATACTTTGTATTTCTTAATTATACCTTGTATAAAATTTCACTATTTATGAACAAATATCCACAAAGAAGGAGGGTCCTCAAATAATCCAAACCCAGAAAAAGGTTTGTGCATCATCAGGGGTAGTAGTGACTATTTGGAAACCACTGAAGTGACCATGAGGATGTAGTACATTCATTTGCAATATTATTCAACCACTAGAATGATTATTTGGAAGGCCTTCTATCAACCTATAAAATTCATATGATATGAAGCTAACTAAGACAAACAGAATGCAAAGCTGTCTGTAACAATGACAAAACCCATAAAAATACGCACGGAAATGGAAAAAGTCAGGACAAGAACATATGAAACTGAGAAAAGCCACGTTAGATGATAAAATTGAAGTTACCTTTTCACTTCCATTTTTAAATTGGTAATGTGTTTTATAACAATTTTTCAAAGAAAAATCAGAAGCTCCAGCTATCAGTGCAGCAGGGGTTTAATGAAAGTCATTATCCGCATGCACTCCTAAAGTTCTGGCCAGTCCCTCCTGGTCCCATGGCTCCGTCCCTGCTGACCTCTCACCCATGCCCTCACTCTCTCTCCCTCCTGCTCCCTCTGCTCCAGCCACACAGAGCTCCCGCTCATCCTGGCATGCACCCTCCTTCTAGGCCTTTGCCCTTGCTGTCACCTTTTCCTTGACCCTCAGATATATGCAGGGCACCGGCTCTTGCTTCTTCTGGTCTCTGCTGTAATGTCCCCCTATCAAGGAGTCTACTCTGATGACCCACCTCAGCACTGCAGCCCCCTTGCCTGCTTCCTCAAGCTCACAGCGCCCATCTCCCCCTACATACATACATGTGCATACACACTTTTTGTTTATTGTCTGTCTCTTCGCCACCAAAACGTAAGCTCAAGAGCAGGGACTAGGTCAGTTTAGGTCACAGCTGTTTAGTGTCCAGAGCAGCGCCTGGCACAAAGTAGAGCCTTAATAAATATTGGTTGTTTTGATAAGTGACTCTTGTTTATCTGGCTGATTGATACTTCTGGACCATCTTAGGTACTTAAGTTGCTCCAGGATTATTTCTCCATCCCATCAAGCTAAGCCAAATCCTCAGTTTTCTGGATTGTAGAAACCCTAGATCACCCCAGATAGAATTGTTTTCCACCCCCTTTCCTGAGTCTCTTAAAGTGTGTTCTGAAATCTGTCCTAGCACTTAGCTCTGATGGAATATAATAAATTTATTACTGTTTATTATATAAATTTATTATCATAAATTTATTACCTTTCCCTTTGCTTTCTCCTCCCAGCCCATTGTTTGTGCTAATAGCTACTCCTCACCTGTTCATGGGATTACATCTTGAGCCTTTCTTTCTTTGGCATAATACTGACCTGCAGTTTTAGGGGCTTCAGGCTCTGGAGACAGGCCTAGCTGGGGCTGCATCCTGTAAACTGCAGACTCTGATCGAGTGATTTGACCATTATTTCTGCATCTCTGTTTCTTTATCTAGTAAAATGGGATCATAATAGTATCAATCTCATTGGGCTGATGTGATGATTATACAAAGTACCATATGCAAATCCCAAAGCATAGGACTTGGCTAATGGTAAATACTTGAGTAATTTTGGCAATTATCAGTGTTAGTATTATGGGAAATGAGCTGAAACATCTCTCTAAATCATCTGAGTTCCACATATACTGGATCATGCCCTGATGCTAATGAATTCAGACAAATGTCTTTAAACTGCTCATCTTTACAATTTGTTCCTGTTCTCTGTTATTTATTTTTCAGAAAATATTAATGCCTTAAAAATTGATGAAGCTTCCAGAGATGTCAAGACAAAAGTACCATTTTTGCTCATTTAATTTTTCCTTTTCATGGTATTTGAGTGCCACGAAGGGCAAGGGAGGGGTAGTGCAAAGAAAAAAGTACAGAGATACTGCTCTGATTATGTGAATACGGGCAAAGAGAACCATAAGTCTCTACTGGCTTCCCTGGCTGTTGGTACCATTGTTAGCCTCTTGAGGCTAATAGACTAGAAGGAGAGTCAGATAGCAACATTACAGTGTAAAAGTTTAGAGCATCATTAGATTCTGGAACTGACTGAATTCTAATCTCTCATCTTTCACTCAATTTAACTTTCCTGAGCCCAAATTTTCTCATCTGTGATATTTGGATAGCAATAGTAACTATTTCATAGGCTTGCTTTGAAGCTTAAGTAAGATAATGTCTCTGATGCACTTACCCCAGTAGCTAGCACAGAGTAGGCCTGCAATAAAATTGGCTATTGTTATTAATAATGATATTATATTATTTACAGAATTAAGTATGTAAAACAAATTATGATAAATGCAATTAAAAGCAACGAAGGGGGCAATGACAGATTACAGAAGGACCTGGCCTGGCCTGGGCATTTGGGAAGTTTCTCTGAAGAAAAGACACATAATCTGACCTGAACAATCAATAATTCTCAATTAGTAAGCAGAGTGGAGAAAGCATTTCACAGACCAGCATCTGTGAAGGCTTTGCTGAGGAAACAAGCTTGTTAATTTGAGGAACTGAAAGAAAGTGGAGATGTAGCATGTTAAGTAAGGGACAGAAGAGCCAGCAAATGATTTGGCGCTGGGGAGGGTGACAAAGGCCACGTGGACTAGGTCTTATAGGCTGCATTGAGGGTTCTGAACTTTTATCTTGAGTACTGAGGAGAGGACTGAGGGTTCTTGGCAGGCTGGGACATAGCGAAAATTTATTCTTCAGCAGAGATTATGCTGGCTGATCTATGGGGAACAGACTGGAAGGGAATGCAAATGGGAGGAAGAAGCAGTTTCACTTGCCCCTGGGAGGTGATGGTGACATCAATGAAGTGGTGGTAGGGGCAGAAAGAAGTGGGACTGTTTCCACTGTAGGCTGGAATCTGAGTCTGTTCATTAGGGGGTACAATTGTAAGAGGATTCAAAAATACTTCATTTAAACTGGGAAAATGGAATGACATTGGAAATATGAAAAGAATTGGATTTATTTGGTGGAGCTTCTGAAAATGGAGCCAAGAACAAGGTGTAGAAGTTATGGGGAGGCCAAGGGCAGCTCACCATTAGGAAGCGTTTGTCAGAATTAGAGATGTCCACAGTGAACAAGGATGTTTAGGGTGCTGTGAGTTCACTCACACCAGAATACTTCATAGGACAAATGATCACCTATTAGAGAACTTCAGATTAAATGTTTTTGAGGTCACTTTTAAATCCAAATAACAAGATGCCATAATATGTTAGAACTGACAATTTAATTTTATAACTAACTATAAATTAAGATTGCAGGGTGCATTCTATTACAAATTTATTTTCATTTAAAGTTATTCGAGACTCCTCATTGTCTGATTTTACATTCCAAATAAAATTTTATCTTTAGAAAATTGGACATAAAACCAAAATCAATCATGGTTTTTATGCAATCGCATATTTAATTTGCTTTGGATTTTTATCATTACAAAAATTAAGTTACAAAAGATTTAGGGAACAAGTTCAAATTTCCTATTTTCTTCGAGAAATTGATGCAAGGGACACATAAAAGCCAAAAGTGTTCTTAATGGTCATTTATGACTCAGCAAAACATCGGGCTCAGAGCTAATCACTAGTAATTTGATAGAGCCTTTGAAATATAAGGAATTATTGATGGGAAAATGTAGTATAATCATTCCTAAACTAGGTATTGTTTCTAATCACATATATCTTCTTTCTTCTCTTTTACTATCTTCTCATTTTTATTTCCTACATCCTTGTCAAGTAGAGCTCACACAGTCTGCATTTCTAATGTGCAGCATCTTTCCTTTTTTCCTGTTTGCTCATGTGGTGTACAAGCACATTTGTTATTGAAACTTTTCTTTCTTGGCAGCATTTAAATTGCAAGAATAACTTAGCAACCCTGAAGAGTTTGGGGCAGAAAATAAATATATTTTGTTGTTCTGCCCAGTACCAGCATTACTATTTTTACCTACCAGTACACTGTTAACAGAGTATTGTCTGTTTACTTTTTTAAAAGGAAGAACATTTCCTTTTATGCACAAAATATTCCAATTGCCTTATTTTTCTCTCTCTGTGCCTGGTTGCATAAGCTGTCTGGTGCTTTGTTTCAGAGGCAGTCATGACCACTAACAGAGGTCTTCCGGTTGGCTCGAAGGACAAATGGATCTTTGTGTTTTTCACCTTACCTTCAACTCTTTGTTTCTTAAAACATGAATACAATGGAACATTCTATTTTCTATTTCTGTTTCTATTTTCCCCCTCATTCTATCTGGTCTCTCAGAGTGAAGTGGGGACAAAGTAGGTGGGCTGAGAGGAACATCCCGATTTTTTTCTAGAACAAGATTTTATGCCTGTTTGATTGGAGAATCATTGGTAGACAATCTTCAGCCTATATTATGGCTCTAATTTGGTCGCTCTTAAGAATTTTTCTGAAATATCTAAGCAGGGAGTTATTTCGAAGCAATGAGGCTAACCTGGAACTTTTGGGAGGAAATGTTACTGGGAGTCCAAAAATGTGTGGCCAAATATTTTGGGTTATGAGTAGGTATATTCTTTTGTTGTTTGGCTGGGTTTTTTTTTTTTTTTCATTTATTCATTGATAATTTATCCATTTGCTGAGTACCTTCAGGACTCAGATTTTATTTTACATGCTGGGGAGATCAGAGTGAAGGGGACATATCTCCTTCCCCTCAAGAAGTTTCCAATCTAGTGGTGTAATAGACCACCGCAATACAATAATTACAAGAGTTTTAAGTACTTACATGCAGACAGGGGAATGGGAACCTGGAAAATGGGACCTGGAAGTCTGTCTGAGGGCAGTCCAAAAAGTCTTCCAAATGGAGACTGTGAAAAGGGTGGGATTTTGGCAAGCACATAAAGGATGGTGGCTGGGAAAGGGCCAATACGATCAGCAAATATAAAAAAGTATTCAAGTAGACAGATTAAAATAAGCAAAGAAATGTAGGCATAGGACAGCCAACTGCTGATTGGAGAGGGACAGGGAGGAGCATAGGGTGTATTGTTAAGGGAGAGGAAAGAGTGGACAGAGGTCAAGGCCAGTTTGAAAAGGACTTTGTGTAGCATTCTGGGAATTTTAATTTTATCCTACTGGGCCATGAGAAGCTTTGAGGAATTTTGAGTAGATGTATAATGTAGCCAGAGTTAGCAATATCATTCTGGTAGCAGGTTATGGTACAATCCTAGGTGGACAAGAAATCAGCATGTCATTTAGGAGACTCAGTAGTCCAAGCAAGTGATGATGTAACAGACCGTTAGCTGTCGGATCAGAGGGGAAGGATATGGGTTCAATAAATATTTAGAAGGGAGAAGCCACAGGACTATGGTGTCTATTAAATGTGGGAGGGAATGGAGGAGAAATAAAAGTGTGGATTTTCTTTTCAATTATTGAGCTTTTTTTACAGTGTGCCATCACTTCACAGAAAATTACCTTACTTAATCACCATATCAGTTTGATGAGGTGGATACTATGATTGTCCCACTTGACAGGTGGGCTATCTGACACTTAGAAGCTATGTACCTTGCTCAAGATCAGAGCTTATAAATAGTGAATGAACTGGGATTTAAAGCCCAGCAATCTGACCCAGGGCCTGCATGCCTAACTGTGATGCTGAACTGCATCTTCCTGCTGGTGTCTTTTTCAGGAAAGGCAAATACAGGACCAGGGACAACCTTGGGCAAGAAGATGACTAAATGTCGGGAGAACAGTTGTTCCAGTTCCCATTTACCATAATATATAACTGTATATTTGTAAAAGTAGCTTATATTGCTCTTTTGATTTTTAAAAAAGAAAGCTCAGCTGATAATTCGGCTGCTAATATTACATTCAGCTTAAACATCTATAGCCTAATAATTTAGAATATCTGCACTAATGAAAGGCTTAGATGCTAGTTTTTTTTTTTCTTTTCTCACATGGCAGTCATAACTAACAGTAGGTCAACCAAGTATTTTTAGCAGCTTTAACTCCTTTTGCTAATTAAGTGAAGGTAGATAAAGAACCCGATTCAGTTGGAGAGTGAAATCCAACAACTTCTTTTGTGATTATGAGAAAAAGTAAGACACTTGAATACAAATATTTTGTTGCCACGCATGTACCTATGACCAGTGCAGGGCCCTTGTGCTCAAACAGTCCTGTGCTTGGGGTTTAAGGCTCTGTTTTCAAGGTCTTGAAATTCTTAATAATTTCATATTTGAATCTGTGCTTGCAAATGAAGTCCGATGGGACAAGAAGCATGTCCTGGGGGATTGGAGCCTCAGCCTTTTCATCCCTCCAGCTCTCCACCTCCCCTACATGGATTTTCAGCCATTTGCTTTCTGACACCCTGAGTTCCCTCCTGGCCTCCACCTCTACCTCCAACTCCCTGTTGATGCCCTGTACCTGGCACTGCAGTTGGTAGGCTTGGTATTCTACCTGCTCCTTCCTCCCCTGTGGGGGTGTGGCTGCAGGTGAGGAGAGAGGGTGGAGTAAGTGCCCTATTTTATCTTGGGGCGGAGCAAAGAAGACACTTTCCCAGACTGGGCCAACAGCAACAGAGCACGTTCAGTGGGTAACCAGTGGGGGCTTTCCCCACCCCCAATCAGGTGCATCTTATTAGCATGGAGGTTGTAATCTCCTGGGGGGTCAGCTGTCTATCATCATTTGGGACACTGGGCTGTGGGAACGGGAGATTGACTTCTTCACTCCCCACTGGAGTCCCCCATTTTCATTTTGCACTGGGCACCTCCCAAATTATGTAGCTGCCTTATCTCCACAATCTTCTGCCTTACTCTGTATATAATAAATGCACAGAGTGAACTTTGTTTAACATGGATTTAGCAGATGTATAAGTAGCTGTCATAACCAAAGTACAAGCTCACTGCCTTAGAACATTTTTTTTTTTTGGTTGCATCTGCTATGATTTTCTTTTCTTTTATTTAAGCATATTATGGGCGTACAAATGTTTAGCTTACATATATTGTCTTTGCCCCACCCCAGGCAGAGTTTCAAGCATGTCCATTCCCTAGATGGTGTGTACTATGCCCATTAGGAGTGAATATATTCATCCTCTCCTCCACCCTCTCACCTGCCTGACATCCCATGAATGTTACTGCTATATGTGCACATAAATGTTGATTAATATCAATTTGATGGTGAGTACATGTGGTGCTTGTTTTTCCATTCTTGGGATACTTCACTTAGTAGAATGGGCTCCAGCTCTATCCAGGATAATATAAGAGTTGCTAGATCACCATTGTTTTTTGTGGCTGAGTAGTACTCCATGGTATACATATACCACATTTTATTAATTCACTCATGTATTAATGGGCACTTGGGATGTTTCCACATCTTTGCCATTGTGAATTGTGCTGCTATAAACATTCGAGTGCAGATGTCTTCTTTATAGAATGTCTTTTTTTCCTTTGGATAGATATCCAGTAATGGGATTGCTGGATCAAATGGTAGTTCTACTTGGATCTCTTTGGGGTATCTCCATATTACTTTCCACAGAGGTTGTACTAGTTTGCAGTATCACCAGCAGTGTATGAATGTTCCTATCTCTCCACACCCACACCAACATTTATTGTTTTAGGACTTTTTGATAAAAGCCATTCTCACTGGAGTTAAGTGATGTGTCATTGTGGTTTTGATTTGCATTTTGATTTGCATTGATGATTAGAGATGTCGAGCATTTTTTCGTATGTTCTTTGGCCATTTGTCTTCTTTTGAAAAGTTTCTGTTGATGTCCTTTGCCCAGAATTTAAAAACAAAAAACATAAAGATAAAGCAATGTCTTAAAACCTACTAAGCAAGACTCTTGTGTATTTTAGTTATGCTCAATAAACTCAATAAGAAAGAATAATTAGCATATTATCACTTAAGGTCTTCTTTTGACTTCTGTTATGAAGAATAATTGTGTGCTAATAATGCTTAAACCTTGCCTGGAGACATCAGTATAGGTGAAAGTTGCATTAACTGACTATGGGTTGCTAAATCAAATACAAGATGTGAATATTAGATATTTTCCTCAAAATCCAAACAAGTTAAATTTTATTGAGAAGCATGCATGATTTCAGTGTAGTTAGAGAATTTGAATTTTTTTAAAAAAAAGCATAATATAGTGAATTCCAGAAGTATTTAACCAATGACCTTGATAATTAGTTCCATGTGCATATACAATAGCCTTTTCTATTAGTGTTTAGCTGTGACATGAAGGATGTTCCCTTTAGTATGCTGATTAATATTTTGTACCTCTAAAATCACATAAAATGTTAGCATGCAATGTGTCAAATTAGCTGCTTTAAAAAAATTACCAGTGTTATAGAAAAATTAAAATGGAGGCCACAGTTTAGACATATCACAAGGGCGAGACTGCCTATAATCACATAGTCACAACTCAAGTCATACAATTTACAACTATTGTGTATCCATAAAGATTAAAAATTAAAAAAAAACCCTTTAATCTGAAGTCTTTGAAATTCTATCTCATCATAAATAAAACACAAAAGTAGGCTTTACATCCTTGTCAGCATGATTCAGTGAAATTAAACCAATCAGTTATAGACAAATCAGCTAACTCTGTTTGCCTTAAAAAGAATAATAATGTAAAAAAGCCGATCATGAAAAAGATCAAAATACTTCCTCCTTTATGTTTTATAAACTGTGCTGTAATTGTTGTAATGTAAGCTTCTCCTCATTCTCAAGGTCTCTTGATTTATGAATTATTCTTTTGTGTGCACAATAAGCCTCTACAATTTTAAAATTTTGATGTGATTTTATTTTTGACACTACAAACATCTTAAACCTCTAAGTAACTGAGTTGTGCTTTATATTTATGATTTCATGCTGTGTAAGACTCTCATTAATCAAGTGCTGTTAATATTGCTAATATACAGGTGGAAAAGGACTAAAAGTTGTGACTCCCAAAACCTTCCCTGTTTTTGGTGCATCAAGGGAGGTCATAAAGGCCTTTATTATTGTGAATCCTCTGTGTTTCACTGGCCGATGACCTAGGAGCGATTTCTGAAAGCAGCCAACCCACACAGAAGAAAATGACCCCATCTGCCCATCCTGAGACCTGAGGAACAGCCTCAAGTTCAGCCTGGAATGCTTGCCTTCCTGCCCAAGTGCAAAGAGAAGAGTACAGCCTCCCTTTCCTTCCCTAACTTTCCAAATCCCTGTTGAGAAGTCTTAGACTCAAAGCTATGCTTGAGATCCACCTTATCCTAGGTTCTCTTGAGTGCAAATACTATGCACACTGTGGAGTTTAATTTTTATCCCCTACAACTCATGAGCTGCTTCTGACATTGACTGGAATACTGTAATTAGCGTATCTTCTCTTAGGTGCCTCACTCCTGATGCGGAGGCCCGTCCAGATATTGTAGAAGTCAGTTCGATGATATCCGATGTCATGATGAAGTATTTAGACAACTTATCTACATCCCAGCTGGCCTTAGAGAAGAAGCTGGAACGGGAACGGAGGCGCACCCAAAGGTATTTTATGGAAGCCAACCGGAATACCGTCACATGTCACCAGGAGCTGGCCCTGCTATCTCATGTAAGTACAAGTCTTTCAGTCTCTTCATAATGCACACTAATAGGCTATGTGAAGTTGTTCATGTTTGTTTTAAGGAAAATACATCTAAAGTTAGGAAAATAATTGTTACATGCAATGTTTCAATATTATATAGTTATATATTTACATCCATTTCTATATCTTACAAATAAAATTAAAATAATTCAGTATAACTGACTTTCCAAAATACTAAATGCATAATTTATTGCATGTTGCAAAACCAGAGGTATCCAAAAGTTCTCTTAGTAGTTCTTTAAGTTTAAATTATATGCTTTGTATAATTAGCAGTGAATGCTTTACATTCAATTTCTTCAGCAATCTGATTATATCTTTTGGGAATATGGATGAAAATGTTGTGAGCTAATTCAGAGAAGGAAATAACACTTGAACTCAAAATTTTTCTTATTTGTCTGTGTAATTGCTTTCATTGATTTTTGTGGTGGTAATAATGTCGCCATGCTTCAAATCTGAATATGTCTTTTTATTTTTCTTGCCAGTAAACTTTAGATTGTTTTGATATTTAAGTGTCTCTCTGAACATTACTTGAAAAGGGGATGCCAAAGCTACAGATTTCCATATGTGCAAGTGATGATGCCAGTGAATGTCTTGTTGCTATTTCCTATTTTCCTTCTTCTGTGTCTTTGTCATAGTAATCATTTGTGATGCATGGTTTGCTCATGCTCTGGGCCTCCACCCAGCAGGAATCCAATCAGGGGACCTTCAATCCACTGAATGTTCTTTTCTTCTGTCCTGGGAGTGGATCTCAAGGAAATAGGTTCATAAAGCCCATTCTTGCTCAGGTTACCTGGTCCTTAAACTCCTTCCTGAGATCCTAAGCACCTGCTCTTTTTCAGGTGGGAAAATGATATAAGAAATTGGTCTCAAAGAGACAGCTCTGATTTCTTGAAAAATAGCATTTCTGGTGAACTTTCTAAAAAGAAGGAAAACACTACTGTTTTCCTTAAGGTACTTGGAATCCAGAAGTTGGAAATTCAATATGATTTTCTTTTGGGAGGAAACTCTTTCATCCTCATTGCCTTAAATGCTGAGCCCAGCTGTAATTTTGCAGAACAATTCACGATGATTATTTAAGTAACATGTTTATGTTTAGGAGCATATAACTTGGAGTTTAGCTCTCACTGAACACAGTTAAATTTCACACACAGGAAGTTAGAGCTCATTTTGCTTGTTATTTTACTAACTGACTGACTTCATAATAACTAGGCAACCATGAGAAACACCTCATTCTATGTATGTTATGTTGCATTCCAAATATAGTATTCCTAGTAGACTAAAATACAAGAGATTTAGCTGTTCTGTATATCTCAGGTATTTGGGGCCTTCCATTAAGTTCTGCACTGCAAAGCTACTTAGCTAATTTCCAGTTGTATATAAAAAGAGTCATTTTATATTAGATTCATGTGGCTGATGTGGGGATGGGTGTTGTTAGTTTACAATCTAACAGCAGAAATCCTCTTATCTTTAGTAAAACACCTTGAAAAGGGCCATTTTATTTATTTATTTTTACTTCTCAGCTTTAAAAAAATTATTTACTATGGAAAATTTCAAACATTTATAGAAGCAAATAGTGCTTTCTGTACCACCCCCAGCTTCAATAATTAGCTACGTGGGACTAATCCTGTGTCATCTCTATCCTCGCCCACTTCCCACTCCCTGCCTTCCCCAGATTGTTTTGAAGCAAATCTCAGATACTATATCATTTCATCCATCAATGTTTCCATATGTACTTGGAGAGCCATTTTGACTATAAAAGTCTGGCTGTCAGGCCATGGCCAGGTAAAGAGAGATCTCTAAAGTGAAGGGAGGAATTTTGAGGAATTTCTAGATCTGGGTTGTATATCCATCTGTAAATTAGGGAGGGAAATATTACCTACTTCAGAAAATAAAATAAATTAATGTGTTCGAATATACTGTGCAATTTTTAAAGTGGCATAAAATTATAAGGTAGCAGAAGAATAGTTTGTTGACAATTTGTCCAACTGGTCACTATCATTAAATCCATGTATGTCAGACACGCAGTTAATACATATTTATCGCACACCTACTGCTAGCCAGCCTCAGTGACCTCAAGGAGCATTCAATCTTTTATGGACCATTGGGGGAGACATCCTTTCTTCAAAGCAAAGTTTATATTCCTGATTTAAATAGTCATAATATAATACCTTCTCCTCTTGAACTATTTTAAGTATTCTGGTAATTTTTCACTTCAAGATTAATCAAATGTTAACTAAAAGGAAAAAAATGTATCTTTATTAAAGAACCAAGAAGGAAATATGACTGCATTTCAGCAAAAGACAGCATGCAGTTAATTGGCATTATCCTCACTGGGAACCAATTATTATTTTTAAAAACTTACATCTATACCACTGCTGGCAGAAAAATTATAACTGTAAAATTTTACTCTTTTTTTCTTAAGCAGTATTATGATTGTTTCATTTCAAATATAGTGGAATGTTCTCCTAGAGCAGTTAATATTAATAATGCCATTACACAATCCAATGATAAATAATAGTCAAAGGAAAAAGAAATTAGTGGTTTCAGTAGAACTGTATGAATTCGCAGAAGCAATAAGGATCTCTATTGTGAATTGCTAAAATTTTGCAAATTAGCGTGTAAGCAATCAATTGATAAGAAACATTAAAGGCTCCTATCTCATGGGGTAGTATACTATTTACTTTCACATTTTAGCTTATTCTTAATTATGGAAATTTTCATAATAAGCTAGTAAAGACAAGTATTCATATATATTTCAGAAGGACAAAGAAGTCTTCATTATTAAAGTTCTTTCTTGTGTACTGCAGTTTACCCACTATGGAAGTGAAACAAGACCTTCCTTTTGAAAATGTTAATCTTTCTAATTCTTACAATTTAAAATAAGAGATCACAGGAGAGCACAGAGTTGAGAATAAGAATCAAACAGTGTGATGTGGTAAAATTTTTACTTAAATATGTAATAACTAAAAGGATATTATAATACAGAGGATATTGTGGCATTGTAATAGTAAAAATCATGATCACTGTAGAAAATGTGTTGAAGACACAGAATCATTACCCTTTAGGTATTATCATATATGCCAGACAGAAAAATCAGTTACAGACATTTTGAGGAGTATATTGCTTAGGTCTTCAAGAATAGATATAAGGATGAAGATTAAAAAAATTCAGCTTGGAAAAACTTGAAGAATCAATGGAAAGCTCCAATTCCATTCAGATTATTGGCATTTTGTGGATACAGCTTTAGACTTTAACATTTACATGGGTGAATAAAGCATATTTGTATGTGTACAAATGGAGCAGAGTTGAATGTTCCAGAGAGACTGAAGAGTATCATGAGAGAAGCATGTTATTGCAGTGTGAGATTTGCAGAGATTACCACTTTCTTCCAGTGATATTTGACAAGAAGTTTACTGCCCCTGTTTTAAAGCTGAATGATAATTTCTTATTACTAGTTTAGCAAATTTGTTCAGTTTGGAGAACTGTTTTCCTATTCATAGGCATATCAGGGAATAAAACAAAAGAGAAAAATTAAAAATGCTTGTACTGTATAATTAATAATGAAAAGCAATGATTTATTAGATATCTTATGAATGTAAGGCATTATGCTTGGTCTTGTGAAGCTTGTAAAAAATTATAAACAATGGTACCAGTTGTAAAGTAGCTTATAATCTACTTGAGAAGATAAGATAGACATGCATAAGCAGGAGGAAATTTCTAATGATTCTAGACAGTTTGAGTAAATAAATGAGATGTGTAGGTTATAGTTCAGCATGGCTCCCAAAGCCAAGGGAAAATAGGATCTTGATATCTAATTAAGGAAATTATTCCTGGGTGGAAAATAAAAGTAAAAGTACGGGAACTCCAGGTATAACAGCTTGGCTCACTTAGGCCTAATAATCAAATTTAGAAATAGTGTTGTTTTATGTTTTAATTTAATAGATAATGAAAGGGAAACCAGGAGAAGTTGAGACTTGTCCAAGGCCTTCCAGCTGGTTAGTGACAGCCCCAGGACTGAAAGTGAAATCTGCTGATTTACAATGCATATTTTTAAATGTATAGGTTGAAAAGTCTGGGAAAGTAGGCTCATGCTAGATGGTGGAAATTTGTAAAGGTGTTTGGATTCAATCCTGTGGGTTGTTTGAATTAAAACCTTGAATTTCTCCAAGATACCTAAAAACCAAATTGCCAAACTAAGGCTAATTCTTGTTTATTATACATACCTTTTTTTAAAAAAATTTTTTCTTCTGTGGTTTCCACTACATTCCTCTGTCCTGATTTCCATCTTACCTCTCTGAATACTGTTTCTTGGTTTCTCTACCAACTCTGGCCTCTTAACTTTAGTTGTTCTGCTTCTCTTCTTGCTCTTCTCTTGAGTGAGCTCCATCTAGCCCAGTGGTTTTTCAGTTTATATGAATTTAGATAAAAATTGGTTGTATAAGATGGGAACATTATTTTCTATAATTATATATCATTTTATTTTGAACCGCTATTCATACTGATGACAGAAAATGATAGATGTAGTCAGTATCAACTATATCAGTCTCTTTTTGTCTAAAAGTTTCTTTTCCATTTCAAGGGTTCTCCTCTCTATGTCCTCTTCCCAAGATGGCGGCTGGACGCAGGAGGAAGCTTAAGCATCCCATGTTAATAGGAGTGGGGAAGGGGCTCTTCACGCTGCTTTCCTCTTTTGGCCTCTGCTGGCCTTAGATGATATTAATATAAACCCATCTCTGTGATTCTGGGACACTGACTTCTGTCCTTGTTAAATGTTTATGGCATCTATAACTCATGGCCTCTCTTTTCACCATGCTTTAAGCCCAGTGAATGAACCACGATGCCTCAACTCCCACTTTGGGGTCACTATTCCTGCTTTTCTGAGGCCTGATTGTGACTTCCTTGGCATTCTTCATTTAAGCAGTCTGCTCTGTGGCCCTCAGTGCAGTGATGGCCTCGTGAACATGCCT